TACAGTGGCATTAAGTGCCTCTCTGCTTATCCCTTCGAGGATAAAAGATTCGTGATGTTATGTTATGTTGATCAAATAATATTCAGACGTTTTATAAAGTTGCAAATGCGTTGAGTTAGCTTCGATATCGTCTGCGCCAAACTTATTATTAAATTAATAGGTATATTCAGTAATGTCGTGGTGGCCCGGAGGGCGCGGTTTCGAAACCTACCAACGGCAAGTACCTACCAATATGACTTTTTCCGGGTTACATGTACTTTCTAAGATTATCTAGACACCAATGACAAACGGTGAAGGAAAACATCCTGAGGAAACCTGGGCTTATAATTTCTCTAATTATAAGTTTGAAATCGCCAACCCGTATTGAGCAAGCGTGGTGATTAATGCTCAAACCTTCTCCGTGTGAGAAGAGGCTTTCCTTAACAGTGGGCATTATAGGCATATTATAACCGTTTCCAAATCGCCCAACATAAAAATTACACTTCTTAATCCAAGTACACCTGTAAAATCCAACCCTAAAACACAATAAAAATAATTACACGGTCAATTTGTACCCGAGCATTACATAAAATGTTTAACCCTCCAATACCTACTGGTGGTAGTTTTAATTCCGTAAGTATTGCGCTCATTAGCAACGCAAGGGTTAACAGTTAACGAGCCCTGAAATAAAATTTCTTGGCCTTCTTTAAGATAATAAAAGAAATTAGACTTTTGTCTCTCGTTTTGGTGTAATTGTGTTGTGAATTCGATTTAAATAAGTATTTAAAAATTGTTTCATGCTTAACCGACTTCGAAAAAGAAGGAGCTACTCAATTTGACTTATATGTATGTATGTACTATGTATGTGCGCAAATATCTAGCAATTGGCTGATCCTATTTTAACGTGGTTTTCAGAAAAGTCTTTGTTACACTTAGGGGAAGGTTTTAGTATGTTTATTAACCGACTAACATCAAAAAAGACGGTTATCAATTCGACCCGTATGTACATACATAGGTAATATTTTTGAAAACGTAACTTATAAGTACCTAAAATAAATATTAGGAATCTTTATTAAATTATTTTTTTCCCACGCCAAATTAATTTACTGGAATATACCGAAATAAGTTAATTAGAAAATTAAATACCTTACGGCGTCGAAAAAATTATCCTCATTGCAGTCGTAAATATTAGTCTAAATTAGGTTTATTAATTTTGAAAATTAAAGAAAGTTAAAATGCAGATATTTTTTTATATTAGGTACTGTCTATCTTCGGTAAATCATGATTAACTTGCTTAATAACGTTACCTACTAAATTAAGGAAAATATTCTCTAAACACTTGTATTTAGTATAGAAATAGGTATGATTATGTGTTCCTAAAAAGTAACACAAAAATATCAAATAGGCATGGTCTAATATGATTTTGATCAGTATGAAACTAAACATGTATGTATGTAGTAAAAATAGAAAAAAGTTACCAGTTCTCTTGTGCATAGTATCTGAAACAATTTATTAAAATAATTAATATTGTTATTAAATTCACTTATTAATAAAAACAAACTGTTCTTACTTTAGAATTATTAAAACAAAACACACGAGTAAAACTACGACTACCGCCATCTGCACATGAACATTGGAACTTCTTGAAATTAGCTTGTAGTGGCTCATTTTGTCAAGAGATGGCGCTAGTTTGAAATGCGTATAATTAGCCGAGTAATGCTTACATTTTAAACATTGTGGAAAATAATTATAACACAATACAATTTTAATTTGTTAATAAAGAGTTTCTGCTGTCATAAAATGTTTGGTTTAATATAGCCTCGTAACATATTTAATACGACGGGTTGTTAAGAACTTCGAAGTTACGTATCACTTTCATAACATTTTTTTTCATATAAAATAAGAGCAACCATGTGATAGTAAAAAGAAAAAAAATATTTGATTGGACTCAGAATTAAATTAGGATACATTTTTTCCAAAAAGATATTAGTTACCTTTACCTACCTAAACCTAGGTAACCTAGATACCTGCCTATTAAAAGTTTTACCTAATACTTAGGGTTAACACGAGAACAAAATCATTAAATCTGTGATTACCATTATTTACTAACATTCCCACGATTTCTCAAACATAATGAACGGTGACCTTCGCACCCTCGGTCACATTGAATGAAATTATGGAAATTATCCGAATCATGCAAAGATACAAACTAATGAGTATTGACGAAATGAAATATGAATCATTATTGATTTGTGTCAAAGGAATTTATGATACGGTATGAGAACTTGTATAGGATTCCAAAACTTGTTGATTCACGGTTTATGAAATATTTTTTATGGCATAAGCCGGTAAACGAGCAGACGGATCACCTGATGGTAAGCGATCGGTGTCGTCCATGGACACCTGGAACACCAGAGACGTTATAAGTAGGTACGTTATCGGCCTTTTGGGGATTACGAGTTTGAGGATCGTTGGGGATTCAGGGATTTGAGAGATTGGGGAAGGGAAGGGTAATTGGGCCTCCGGTAGCTTCAATCACACGACGAACCACAACGCAAGTGCTTCACGTCAGTTTTCTATGAGGCCGTGTCTATCACTCCGGTCGAGCCGGCCCATTCGTGCCGAAGCATGGCTCTCCTACACTTGAATATGAAGAGTGTAATGGGTGCATTTAGAACCCTAATGACATCGAATCTTAACTAGTTAAACTTAATTTTTGATGAATTATTATGTTTAGAATTATAACCATGAAGATTACATCTTTATGTTACTACCTACCTAAAGTTGTAATCTTCATGGTTATACTACCTACTGGTAGTTACTCGGATATGGATACCTGCCTAATTATAGTTAATTAAATCAACCCAGGTAGGTAATACCTAACCACAACGCAAGAAAATAACATCATTGTCAAATGAAATAAAATACATTGTACGTCATCCAAAATCGAAAAAATCTCCCCATAAATCAATGCACCGCCACCAAGAAAATTAATTTCCGCGCATCATTTTCCAATCACGTGAAAAACACAAAAAAATACCGAATCCCCCACATCAAATAGACATTAAGAAATAATAACGCGAACACCTTAATCTTATTACATTATAATAAGCCCTGAATATCTTACAGATGTTTTTCTAATCGGATACCAGTGAACCCCAAATTTTTCATCACGGAAAATTAGATTATCGAAAATTTGCATTGCCTACAGCGCCATCTATGAATGGGAACCGTTATTAAAAACCACGTTTTGTTTTACCTTTCGCGTTTCGTAATTACTTCGTGTTTGAAACTTAGTGATGTAATTATAAGGTTGGGTTTTGTATAGCTGGTGTGTTGGTGAGATGGGTAAGTAATATTGTAAATACAGATTCGAGATTAGGGGGTTCGATCCGATTGGGGGCCCTCTACAAAAACAGTATGAATAATAATGTGATTAGCATAATATTGGGAGCTCTTCTAACAAGGTTGTTTGCTTTGATAAGTCAGAAGATAATAGTTATACATACATGAACGAATTTTTGAGATGATGTTATTTTAAGGTTTCATTCAAGAAGACACGTTCGTTTGCCGATTCGACTAAAATACAGTTTGTTAAGATTTTCCCGCTTTATACAGCAACATACTGTGCCAAGTCAGGGTGAACATGGTAGTCATGCCAAAGCTTAATGTAATGGCTCTTATAACAACATACAAAAGATGGATTTAACTACGCATTTAATCTTTCGTGTTCCTATATAAAACGCGGATATACGCGAGACTCAATATATTTTCTATTATGTCTTATATCAGTGCATTCAAGCAGTTACGTACAACAGATCTTTGCCCGGTCTTTCAGGAAACCGATATTGTTTTAAGGGACACGTCCGCCATAACCTACCAAAACCGCTGCAACTCCTGTAAGCCAGGATCTACAGTAGATACAACCATGAAAACACCGGAACACTGAAGTCCAACGCGTCCCAGGGACATGAATAACTGTCTTGAATCCCGCAACGAAGTGAATCAGAAGATATGATTAGAAGAGAAAAAAGCACGATAGTTTCAAACTACTGATATATTTAAATATAAAGGCTATTTTCTAGCTTTCAGCTGCTTCGGTGGCCGAGTAATTGCAAGTGCGACTGCCAGGCAAGAGGTCTCGGGTTCGATTACCGAGTCGAGCAAAGTACCATAGGATTTTTTTAAAAAAAGGCTCTGTAGTAGCACGGAGTCTGGAATTGTGCCCGGTAAATGGCAATAGGGCCACTATTACATGGGACCCATAACATGATTAGTAAAAGGTGGGTGTAACATTGTACAGTAGCATTAAGTGCCGTAATGTGCACCTCAGCCTTAGCCTACCCCTTCAGGGATAAAAAGACGTATGACTACTTAAGTCCCAAAACTGAATCACCGAAACTTATATCGAACCAAAATTAAGATCACCACTTCAATCCATATGCCAGCCATTCAATAACTATTCATCGTGACCCTTGCATTACCATACAGACGGGGGGTAGGCAGGAGTAGTGGGCAGTGTAAATAAATAATTGTAATTCTTAATAAAACTGCCCTCAACGTCCAATGGCCGTAAATTGCACACGGTGGATGAAACTGATAGTTGTATGTGGAGCGCTGCTTTTGATAATTTTTAAAGTTGGGACTGAGAAGTAATTTTTTGAATGTTTAGGAATAGAGTGACAAATCAAATCTCTTTTGATTTGTTTTTAGAGAAACAAATCAAAAGAGCAGTGGTTTTATGTTTCTTTTAACGTTGTCCCACACTAGGTCTTTCTTCTGTGTCGTGGGTGTGTTTACAAACATACAAGGTCACATATATCATCACATACATCTAGACCCGGAGAACCTAACGGGTAACCGGGGCTCCGGCTCGACGTGCAGGAGAAGGAACGGGGTGGTTTTTAGTCAATAAGTCTGACACTCCCTCCCGCCTCACCCAGATGGGAGCAGTCATTCGATGATTTTCCCCCCTTAAAAAAGACCCGAAACAACAATTTGTAGATCACACAAAGAGTTACTCCGTGCGGGAATCGAACCCGCTACACGTAGCGCACCAGCTGCCCAACCACCGCACCAACCAACACTCAATTTGTATTAGGCTTATAGATATTATTCTTGCTTTCGTATATTTTTAAACTACATCTGTAGAAACAGTAGATGCATATATACTAAGTTTTATTTAACAAATAAAAAAGACGTAATTGGAAACTTAAATTAAGGACAATGAATAAAAGAGAAGAAAAAAGTATGTAACAAGGAATCTTAACTAAAACACGAAACTGCATAAAAAAATCCAATCAAATAATTTGATCAAAAAATAAATTTCAATCAAGTATCAACTCCTACAGTAGCAGTACAATAAGATAGAGCCGTCAGTGGGTCGTGTAATGACCGGACACTTTACATAATTCGGTGATCGACTGACCCCTGCTTACCCACGAGTGATGGTTCGACCAGAGGTTACCCACAACCAATAAGAGATACTGGCGTTGTGAATTGGTGATATTGATTGGTCGATACTGGAAATGAAACTATAGTTTTGACGGTTTGTTGAGAAATGTGAATGATTGATGATTTTTTAACAGCCGGATTAACCTGTTGAAATACCTATCTGAAATATCATCCCCTAAATTAGTTCATACAAAAGTAGTCTCGAAACATCGGAAATCCTTACTAATATTATATTTGGGAAAGTGAGTTTGTTTGTTTGTTCCGCTTTGACGCCGTAACTACTAAACCGATTGCTTTGAATTTTTGCAGACGTAAAGTTAGAAGTCAGGATTAAATAATAGGGTACTTTTTATCCCGGAAAAATTTGATATTCCCGAGGGAAAACAAAAGTATTGATATAGATGGCGCTGGGTGTATTGATATATGTCACATAGGCTACTTTTTATCCTTTTGTGACACGAGCGAAGCCGCGGGTGAAAGCTAGTAAGGTCTATAATGTAGTTAGTGGAGAGCGATCACTGGTGACCGTGTGGGGATATATGGGCACTAAACAAAAGAAAAACATACAAGCTGAGTTGGAAACCTCCACCTTTTTGAGAAGTCATTTAAAAACAAAGTATTTAAACATCACTATAATGATATTTAATCGACTTCAAAAACATCTAAGTTTGACCTGTAGTTATGTATGTTTGTGCGAGATTATCTCGTGATTGGCTCAACCGATTTTGATGCGATTTTCATAAAAAAATGTTTGATACACTTAGAAGAAGGTTTTAATTAACGACTTTTAAACAAAAATATGGTTGTAGTAACTTATTTTACAAAGACATATTTACAAACAGCGGTTTGCAAATATTTCTTTCAAATACTAAGATGATATTAAAATTATGCTATTAATAAGATGCTATTAAAATTTTCTTTTATAATTCCATCGTTATGTAAAAGTTCCCGTATCTTGCTTATTTCAGAAAGAAATATTTACAAACAGCAGTTTGCATCCCAAATAAGCGTATCTGGGGTGATAGTAAAATATAATAGATGCTAGTAAAAAATTCTATTATAATTCCATTGTTACGTAAAAGTTCCCGTATCTTGCTCCTTAAACTGTCAAACACCAAGCGGTCACCGGTGACCGCAACCTATTGTTCTTTAATTGTGTCTTTATATACGGTACTCGACGAGTTAAAATAAGTAACCGGCCTAACTAGTAGCAAGTACAGGAATGTGCCGACATTACTTTCAAAACTGCCTACAAACGATGTAATTGAAACAAATATCTCGGTTGACTTAAAACACTGTTGAAGACCGCACCAATCTTTTTATTATCGCCAAAACATCTCATCTTGAAACGCATACCACGAATCGGGATCTGTCAAAGCCATCCCATTTTTGACACTATCCCAAAAACTCACCTCTGTGAGAGATGGGAAAAACGTAGTGTTGCTACTGATGTATCATTTCGGATCTGGATACGAGTACGGTATATCCGTGACATTTACGGACATGTTTTATCGGGGTCGGCTACGGATTCCAATTTATTTTATTATGTATCTATATAATTTTTTCACATAATTCATGTAAAATGTAAAAAACAGTCTGACAGTCAAAACTCATTAAAACGGCTCTAGTCTTCACACTATCAAAAATTATGCGAATCTTTTATACAAAGTAACTATTTCTGAATTCGGTAACAGTTATGGTAGCTCTTGTATAGATAACCGATACATTTCGGTTACAGTTACGGATCTCGGTGACATCCCTAAAACTTCATACTCACAAGGAATCACCCAGGTGGGTCCACAATAACGCTTTCGCAGTATGAGGGGCATATAAAAATTAATTAAATGCTAAAACGCTTGGTAAGTAGGTAAAAAGTGTTGATCGAGGGCCCGGCGCAGCGGGGGCCGTCAATCAACGTCCTCGATGTATTGAAATTGCAGTTTTTATGCGCTTGCAATGGCAGTGAGCGGTTTCATGATGGTAGAAACGCGATTTTGAAGTGAAAGGAACGTTTTGAGGAAAAAATTGGGTATCGTACCTCTTTTCCTCTGGTAGGTAAATACACGCCTGACTCTGTATTCAATTCAATCAAAGATTTCATGTAAGTAATTTGAGGCAAATCAAGCCGTAAACGTGGTAAAATGTTTGCTATTTACTCCAAACACAAGCAACATAGAAAAGCCTTCAAGAAAGATAGTATTTTCTCTTTCAATTTTAGCACAATGAATACGATAGAGTCAAACTATCAACTTCTTTATTTTAAAACTTTCGTGATACATATTAAATTTATTATTATGTTTTTCGGCTTACTTAACCTGTCGTGTGCCGGAACATAGATCTACGCGAGACACAATGCATTTTCTATTGTCTCTTATATACCCGCCCGAGTCAAGAGGTTAATGCTGCTCATGAATATGAGCCTCTAGCATGATTTGAAACTAGTCGAGTTTCTCGTCAGATAATTACGTGTGTGAGCCGAAAAACATATCAACTTCCTTTCGACAAAGCTATAAATTATCATCATCATCATCATCATCAACAGCCTATAAATGCCCACTGCTGAGCAAAGCCTCTTCTCACACGGAGAAGGTTAAAGCATTAATCACCACGCTTGCTCAATGCGGGTTGGCGATTTCAAACTTATAATTAGAAATTATAAGTCCAGGTTTCCTCACGATGTTTTTCCTTCACCGTTTGTCAGTAGTGTCTAAATAATCTTAGAAAGTACATATAACTCGGAAAAAGTCAGATTGGTACTTGCCGTTGGTAGGTTTCGAACCCGCACCCTCATACATGAGAAGTGGGCGTCTTAAACCTCCGGGCCACCACGACACTTTAAATTATTAGCTCGCAATTATCAGACAAAAATCGCTCCGCTCATGAACACACTCGCAGCCGCCCATGAGTATTATAACGTATTATCAAATGGCCATCGACTGGCAATGAGAGAAAAAACCAAACCAACATATAATTGTCACAGGAATTCGCCAAATGAGGGTTTTTACAACAATACGGACAGTTGGTACCTACATTTGTAAATTTTGATACACCACAAAAGGCATTGTAGAATTTTATGGAATGTGTATAAATTTTAATGTGATCGCGTCTTTATGTTTCCAGATAAAAGTACCGGTAGCTAAATATAGAGGGCGATATACAGACTGTTGAATTTTAATGGGACCTATGACAAATAAATTATGACCTTAGTAATAGTTTATTGAATTATGTGCTCGATATATGGCAATAGATAGGCTCACATACATAGAACTCATAACATAAATAGTGAAAAGTGGGTGTTGCATAGTGGCATTTAGTGCCGTAATGTGCACCCCTGCCTACTCCTTCGGGGATAAAAGGCGTGATGTTAAGTTATATGTGAATTAGGGTCCCATGTTTTTTCAAGGTGTTTTCCTTCCTTACATGAATCTTCTTTAAGAAGATTAAATGTACGAAAGTGAATGTAATACGTAATTTTCTTTTTGCATCTCAAGTGTTCTGCATAGAGCAGAAAGTGCCCTGCAGAGTGCACTAATTGCATAAAGCACTTTATACAAGTACAATACTATTATTTTACTAGTTAATATCATATGCCCCTAATATGGCAACAATCAGTGAAAATTAATAACAAGGTATGCGCTACTTCTAAGAATATAAACATTAAAAAAGGAACAAACTTAGCATTGCCTAGAAATCGTATCCACGCACCACACACGACTAATAAAACGGCCACAAAAACCGACCACAAACACATAACTTACCATTTTCTTATACCAACGCACTCGACTTCTTTATCTACCCGCAAAAACTAGGCCTACACCATAATAGTCCAAGAGACAGACAACGACCCATCTACATAATCCAACAACTTTACAAAACCCAGTAAGTAGACTGCAACAATCGAAACCATTTTCTATTGACATGATATTACCATTTAATAGCCTCCGATAGCCCGTGGCCACGCAAACGGCTATCGGAATTACCCGGGGACAGTTTATGAGACATAACAGTCGGGCTCTCCGACTATCTGATGCATTTTTAGATGACTCGATTTTGGGTTAAGACAATCGCGGATAAGGTTTGGTGCAAGTGATGAACTTAGAAGTAAGTTAGTGTATTCAGGATCAAGGACTTTCAATGTCCTTGTTCAGGATTATCAAAGTTGGCGTGTGAGTGAGGTTACCGGGGGCCAAATTAAACCCGACCTTCCCTAATCCATGAATCCTCAAAATCCTAATCCCAAAACGCAGGTAACGCACTTGCAACGCCTCTGGTCTTCCAGGTGTCCATGGGCGACGCCGATTGCTTACCTTCAGGTGATCCGTCTGCTCGTTTATTGGCTTTTAGGTAGTATTCTGTGTGTATATATGTCACGATAAACAGATTAGTTTTGATGACCTTTTTGTCTACTACCAAAAGATACTATAATAAATTAATAAAGTCAAAGCATTTTTTTTCAATGACGTCAACAAAATATACAAAATAAATAATAGTCTATCAGTCAGTCCTTCAGTGAAGCTAGGTAATTAACTAAAATAGTTTCAGTCATCATTTAAATTCATTTTTTGGTGGGGATAAGTGATTGTGCGACTTCTTTGGCTTTGTACTTCTTTTTTAAAATTATTTTTATATTTCTGGTATTTTCGAATTTTGAAGTAAAATGAGTTGTTTTCCCATTTTTTTTATAAACCCCGAATTGCCCAGGACGTGTTTCTTGTTTTACGTATGAAATGTTTCCGTGGTTTTTACGTAAATCGCTACAAGCTTAAACCTTGCACAGAACATTGGAAAGCAATTGACTAGGAATTTACTGTAATAAGGATTAGGAAGCATGTCGGCCAATCCTAAGGGGCAGTCAGACCATACACCGGCGGTTTTATTCAATTCTTGTACAAACTGCAAGGAAAAACTCTGTCTATAGTGGAAATGTTACACAGAGGCTTGATGTAACATCATGGTGGATTGGATGGTGATGTGCTCAGTTCTCAAGAATAATGATTTTTTATGGTACAAGCCGATAAACGTACAGACGGGTCATCTTATGGTAAGCAGTCGGCGTCGCCCATGGACATTTGAAACACCAGAAGCGTTACATGTGCTTTACCAGCCTTTGCGGATTAGGAATTTGTTGAGGATTTTTGGGATTGGGAATTTAAGATTGGGAAGATAGACGAAGCAGGGGGTATTGGGCCTCAGGTAACCTCACTCACGTGACCAAACACAATGTAAGCGTTGTTTCACGTCAGTTATCTGTGGCTGTGGTATCACTCCGGTCGAGCTGGCCTATTCTTGCCGAAGCATGGCTCTCCTACACTTAAAATGATGCGGATCCTAAACCTTAATAATTTTAAGTATGTAATAATGTTAATATTTTTTCTATAAAATAATATATAGCACATGTATTGTCTTCTCGGTTCATGAATATCACTGGCATAACATAAAACACTGCAATACTTACGTACATCAGCTTTATTTTCAAAACGGATCTTCAAGATTCTTACTTATCATTTATTAAATTCTCGAAACTAGCCACTAGCCACTATGATGTTACCATCTACCATAAAACTTCAGCCCACCATAAAATGCCATAACATGGGCCGACCTCGTAAAACTGACCCTCATTGTAGGGGCCAAAGGCAAAGGATGATCATTCAATAATTTATACAATTGATAAATAATAAATAAGTAGGGACAGCCCTAGTTTTTGTTTTTATTTCGCGGTGGGTAGTTGAATTTTTTGCGTAACATTTGGGAGAAACAGTTGGGAGCTGAGCGTGGTTGATTGAAGACGTCTTTTGGGCGGAGCCAGAAAAATATAAATTTACAATTGCATATATTATATATTACTATGAAGTTTGTATTATTGGATTTTATGACGATTTTATTATTGCAAAGTTTTTTCACGACCTTTTCCTTCACTGTCATACATTGGTATATTCATAATCTTAGAAAGAACATATAACTTGGAAATAATAGAATTAATGCATGGATACTATTTATTATTAATTTTAATTCCTAAATCTTTTTCAATTTAACTTAATTTTGTCTCATATTGCATTTGTCATGTCAAAGTGTGTTCTCTCCAAAATTGTAGTGCCCAGCAGGATCCACATTGTGTCCAAATTATGTTTAGTTAGGGTAGAAGACCCTCAGTTACCGCATGTCTAAGTCATTCACGTCGAAAGCAATAAAGAATTGACTATTGAATACCACTTAGGTTTCAAATGACCCCCTCAAGCTTGAGAATCAAGATCCTTAACCTTAGAGCCACCACGACAATGACAATTTAATACATCAACAACACTTCATATTTTTCCAATTAAAACCCAGTTTTCTTACAAACACTACATACATAACAAAACACATTCAGGGCTCATCAAAAATAAATCAGACACAACAAAAACTGTTAAAAAGGTATTGCAAATAAAATATATCATCGTCAAAGATTTACGATTATTTCATACTACATAAAGTATAACTACGTATTCTGCTTACCTCTTTAAGCTTTATAAGTGTAATATTTCAGTAGTGATACAGTTGAAGTGTCCATATACAATCGTTATGTGATATAAAACAATATGTGTTAAGTCCACTAACTCTTTAACAGGGCGTTAAGGGGCTAATGATGGGCGCTCGATGGCCGGTAGGGTTGTACCATCGACGGTGGATATGGTATGACGTCAATGAGATGCGCCGAGTTAGATCTTTTTTAAGATCCTGTGTGTAAATGATGTTGTTTTATTTATGTTTTTCTATTTAATGATATGGGTTGTTCGTCACTTATTATATAGGTAATAGGGTAGATGCCTAATTTTTATTTTAACTCGTCGGGTACCGTATTTATAGACACAATTAAAGAACAATAGGTTGCGGTCACCGGTGACCGCTTGGTGTTTGACAGTTTAATGTTCGTCTGGTAGATTATTTTAAATCATTAGAAATGTGTTTTTTATTTTCTTACAGAAACGAATACTTTCGACGATATATTAACTTGAAATGTCACGTGACGTCACTTCTATGTACATTTTAAACGTAGAAGTAACGTTTTAGCCCCCACTCCTAAACTTTGATTGGTTTTATCTAAGTATTGTTTTTTTATAAGACAAAATAAAAAAATACGTGTCTAATATTTTTTCATTACCTAATTTACGGACTAATTAAATTTTTAATTTTCATACCCCGTCATCATCCCAATTGGTTGTTAATAGAAAAGGAGTGTTTTAGCACAATAAGAAGCATAGAGTTCATTAAATAATTTTGTAATTAAATCGATTTCAGTTTCATTAATCACAAATTTTTACTAGAGCAACTTTTAATTGAAAGATGTCATCATTTTTTTTCTCTTTTATTAAAAAGTATCGCAATAATGCCTATTTCAAAAGAAGCTTAGCTTAGTTAAGGATCTGTATCACCAAACTCCTCCATATTTATAACACAGTATTCCCACGACCACCAACCCTACAGGAATCGATGCAAAAATCCGCCGACTCGAATGCGACATCTCGATTCTATAATCGATCAATTAAATCGAATTTCTTACGATAAAGCGACGGGGCTAACGCGAAATTTTTTCGCACGGAATCGCGCGAACAATCGCGCCCCGGTATAATATCGGATAATACGACCTTTTTGCTATATCCGTTTTCTATACGAATGCACATTTTGCTAAACAACATCTCACACCGACTCTTCAAGGCATTCCTTTAGCTACAAACAAAAATCGACTGAATTTTTACATACAAAAAGTTCAATCTCGTTTACTATAGATTTGACACACATGTTTATTAATTTGTGAACTTTATATGGAGGGGATAAAGGTGATTGTTGAGTGTGTAATCGTGGGTTAAAAGGAGATATCTCATATTAAGGAATCAGTTCTTCATAATGCAATCGGCATTGTCATGAGGACTATTGAAGGGATAGGAAAATACTTACAAGGAAGCTTTTCCATTATTTTGTATGTCTTTGTTGTATTGTGTGCATTCATTGCGCCCTTCTAAAAGAAGTGGGTAGGCAGTATACTACGTGTTACACGGTCATATCTATGTGTGAATCTTGATTGAGTTTTTCCGAAGCGAATGACACCCTCGATCCCGTTTTAATAAATGTCAAAAACGAAATGAGTTTTTGTCAACGTTTTTGGAAATGACGCGGTTGTTTTTCTCTTGTAGCTTCCAAATTCAGAAAAGATTGTTTAAACAGACAAAAGAAAAAGTTTAGCATCTTGAACATTTTTTCTTTGATGACAATTTGAACCGGGTTTTCTTTAGCAATTGTTTACAGTAAGATATGTCAAAAACACTTAAAAATAACAGAAATTTTACTTAAATAACCTTCTGAATTTGACCAACGTAACATAACATAACATCACGATTTTTATCCCCGAAGGGGTAGGCAAATGTGCACATTATGCCACCGTACAATGTAACACCCACTTTTCACTATTTATGTTATGAGTCCCATGTAACAGGGGATGAGCCTATTGTCATATACCGGGCACAATTTCAGACTACTACTGCGATTTTTTTTAAAAACCCATGCAGTAATACTTTGCTCGACATACGAATCAAACTCGAGACCCTATGTCCGGCAGTCGCATTTGCGACCAATCGGCCAACGAGGCTAAATTATTGATAACATAATATTGAAACTTTATTTAGAGGTATACCTATTGACTCTTCGAGTAATGAATTGAATATCAGTAATTATTCTTTTATTCGAAATCGATTAAAACTTAAGACCTTGAAGTTGACCCTTTCATTTAAATTTTTATATCAGTCACTGAACAGCTATATAAAACAAAACAATCCTTGCACTCCACGACAACACAAAACAAACCTTCAAACAATAACTCACAACTCAAGAAAGTACAGTCAGGTTAAGAAACATCTAGCTAAATCCTAAAACGACTTAAGTATAGTAACATCGCGAAAAATCCCTAGCGAGTGACTTCGGTAACCCCTGCAGCGGTTTATGAGCGACTTAATGACGGTACTCCAGCGTTTTAATGACGTTAAATGAGCGTCAACGAGGTACGCGTTAACAACTTTTCCCTTTCTTAAGTTTTCGACCCATTTCCTTGTTGTTGCTAACTTAAAAGTTAATTGTCTTGGGAATAAGTTTAAGTAAGATGATGCGGTGTGTAGTTTAGTGTGTATTTATGTGTTCGGGTTGTTATTTTGTAGGTTTTGTCATGCATTTTTAGGTTTTAGATAGTAGAAATAATTTATAACTTGAGACTTGATAATATTATTATTTTTATTATGTATGTCTTTATATTTCGTGGTCGCAAGTGCGACTGCCAAATAAGGGGTCTCGGGTTCGATTCCCGGGTCGGGCAAAGTATTACTGGGTTTTTAAAAAAAAATCTCAGTAGTAGCATGGAGTCTGGAATTGTGCCCAGTATATGGCAATAGGCTCACCCCCTATATAATGGGATTCATAACATAAATAGTGAAAAA